GTATGAATTCACATTTCCCTGAATTATCCTCAAGCCTGAATTTCTGAGCATCTGAAATACCATACCTAGGTTTTTAACAGCAGAAGCAAAGGTGGTCAAACACCTAGATATTTGTCTACATAGACCAAACGTCTCTTTTATTGTAATCCCTTCAGTTTTAGCTCGTATATCCTCTCAAAAGTGGTAGGGGTGTTACACAGGCCGAATAGCATTATGTGAAATTTATACAAACTGCATTGAGTGTTGAAACAGTCTTAACTCTTATATCATTATCCAGCTTGACTTGTCACTATACAGATGCCAGATATAAAGTGTCAAATCACTTGGCATCTTCCAGTGCATCCAGACATTCGTCTGTTTGCATAAATGGAAAAGCATCAGTGTGGATTGGGTTACCTCCTTCACTTATCTGAAATCAACACAGAACCTTGTGTACCTTATTTCTTTCTCACACTCACTTCTGACAGTGTACACACACTGTGTAGGCTATGTGATTCTTTCGTTCAACATCTACTGTACCTTGGTACTAGCTACATCCCTAGTGTTTCAGGGAAGCCAGCATAGAAGTTGTTTAATCTGATGTATGTTTCTTGCATTTATGTGATGTTGAGTTACATTTGTTTAACCCAGTTGGCCATCTGGACCTGCAAATACATTGGCATATTCAAACAAATTATTGAACTTTTGCCACTGTGATGAATTCAGATTGTTTGCACAGTCAGAAACTAAACAGCCAACTGCCCGTAATTGTAGAATAACACTGATACTTCATCATCTCTCAAACTAATGCTACCTGCTTTCATGACAAGAAACATGCATTTAATGTGTTGGTTTCATCACGGAAGCACATCATGACTATCCACTATACTAGACCTCATCTAGGCTAGGGAACACCAATTTTGTACATGAAGGTACTCTGACTTCCTCCACAACAAGCACTTGTATGGTCCACTGTTCTTGGTCCTGATCTAATTGGCATTTCAAGACTTTTCCACTGAAAAAAATTTCCACTTGAATGCTTATCTCTGTGATTTCAATACTAGAACCAAGGTCAGAGAATACTATCTTCATTCTGTGGTTGACTTTAGATGAAGCTGGAGACATGCTTCTCCAGTTACATACAGCTTATTGCTGTTTACCAGAATGAAATCAACAATGGCTTCAGTTGGAGTGCCTGATGCATAACAAGGTTAATCAGTGTCCTGGCAGTTTCTGTACCAACCAATAACTATCTCTTGCCCTTGTACCTTTATAGGAACATACCAAGTGCCATTAAGCCCTGAGAGAGTTGGGATGACTTCCATCTTCTTTGTGCAAGCTGTATACTGCACTCCCCAAGTTTATGGTTATATCTAATGTGGGTTCCATTAGTTACCTGGAGCCAAAGCAGCAGCTGCAGTTCTTTAATGAACCTCCTGCACCTCACTGTGGAATGCGGTATGACTATGCCTTTAACTCTCACAGCATGGGCTCAGTCCCACAGACCAATTTCATAACCATTTTATACTTGCTATAGTTTTCATGCCATAACTTTTAAATTATGTAGTGTATCTTCACGAAATTTTGCATATTATCGGTAAACATTACAAGGCTTTTGTATGAAAGATGTCAGATTTTTTTATTAAGTTTTAAGATTTCTTAAAATAATGTTTTTCTCTTGCCTATTTTCTTTTTGAATGTTGACTATCCAACATGCAAAGTGATTTTAAGATTAAAAATACTTTTACGCATCAGAAAAATTTCAGATTTTGCATGCAGAATCTTTATAACCTCCAGATAATTATCAGATTTTTTTTAGAAGAAAACTGTATTTTATCTATTATTCCTACTATTATATCTCTGTACTTGTTGGGTTGATTTGACCAACCTTGTAACCACCATAAAAAATTTGGAAATAAATATAGATTATGTTTTTTCATTCTAGAATGACTACAAATTATAACATGAAAATAAAACTGTTTAGTCTAAATAGCTTAAATCTCATAAGATTATACATCTATATATGTTTATTATTTTTATTATATTGACCTTTCAGCCATGTCTAGCTAACATTACACAAGTTACAATGACTCAGTGCATTTGTATTCATGTTACCGTATCTAAGAATATAAAACTGACCTTTACAAAGTGACCTGTCTTGGCTATGTTTAGTGGACTAGTATTTTGTAAAATACAGTCACATTTCAGTTATAATACATTATATACGTATATACATTATTACTATTTACAAATACATTCTTATATTTATTTTTCTTAAAACATAGAACAGTAAATAAAAAAGTATAGCAAACAATTATCTCTTCTAGTTATGAACTTTGTACTTGTTTGCTGCTTGCTATAGGTTGCTTAGCCTTTATCAAATTTTGCATGTGGAGGATGTGAAAAGAAATAATTTTTTTAGGTTTTGTATATACATTTTGAAATACCATAGAATTACACTATAATAATGATACACAAAAATTGATATTTACAATTTCGTTTTCAATATTTACTTTTTAATTAAGAAATTAAATACTGCATAATATTAAAATTTGAATTATAATCTACAGTTTGATACTAAACATATTGACATACATTCATAAAATAGTAGTTCAATAAAATTTTGAATGTGACCTGTGTTGATAGGGTTAAAGTGAACCAGTTGCCCAGGTCCATAGGGGATGCTTTGGTGTTCCCTTGGCTGAGGTAAAAACATCATGGGTAGGCTGGGAAAATCCTGCTCACTCACTGGTAACCAGTGAAACTGTATTGCAGCACTAGAATGTGTTGGCTACTGCTTTGCCTTAGGTGAAAATCAAGCCTGTTGTGGTGTATGCATTTTGGGAGAGTTTTTCTGTCAGAGAAATATCCACTGCTGTTATTTCTGCAGGCTTTTTTTCTCTTGTGATTTATTCATAGTTACAACTTCAAATATTGTAGCAACAGAAACTGCCTCTGCAAGGGCGAATAGGTCTTTCACACATAAGTAATGTCTCCTTGCCTCAGTAGGTAACCTCTCGATAAAGTTGTGTAATGACAATTTGCAAAACTCTTTGCAGGAAATGCCTTCACATGCCAATTACATAAATTATCTACATGAATGGTCAAGCTCTTGGTAATACCACTCTCTCAAGTCTTAATCTTGGTCTAATGGATAGCTTGGTTCTACAAAGGGTTTAGATGTCACTGCGACTCAGCTACAACTGTTCTCTATCCCAGAGTTCTTCCTTGCTTAAGTAAGTGTTGATAGAATCAAGAGTTGAACCATCCAAACTCTTTGCTTGTTCCTGAGTCCAGCCATTCTAAACAGTGATTGAAGCTCTTTAGGAAATGGTCCAAATTATCTTTAGCTGCCCCTTAAATGTTGGGAAAGAGATTTGTTTATCCTCACTCAAAGGCACCTGTGGTCCTAGCATAAACCTTTCTTCTGTGGTCTCTCATCAAATACAGGCTGATACATTCTGCATGCCAAAGTTACAGTTTGGTGTGCCTTCTTAGGTGCCCCTAAACTTGAAAACACCCCATACCTTGAGCTGCAGAACAATGAATTAATGATGGCAACTTTTCCATCATCTTTTCACAGTCCAAGGTCTCTCCATGACCCATGGTTGCCCAATTTGTATATCTCCCATCCCATAGAGGTTTACAACTGCCAAGTAGATCACCTTCACTAGTCATGCTTGCTGTTTTGTGTGCTGGCAAAACAGTTCAAGCTGGAGGAAGTTATCCACCAGTGATACCTTCAGTCACTCTCTGCTGGTCTGGGGTGTAAATGCTAAAGAGTTCTGTAAAGACTGCTCCATCCAATCTTGGATTCTTTAGATTGCACATTGTAAGAAAAAAGTTTGATGTTCGGGAGAGGACTTCTCCAAGATCTGACAACTCTCTCAAACAGCCATCTCTCCTCATTAACCAACTGTTACTCCTGGTTATAAATCTTTTGAATCAAGTACAAAGTATTGAAGTTAATAATGCAAGATTACAAAATAGCATGGAGAAGTATACTCTCCAAGAGAGAAAACAGAAATTCCCACAATAACAAATTGGTATTTTTGAGTGCATTGATTTCTCTTTGTGTAACTTGGTAGGATCCACAGAATAACTGGAGATTAAATAGAAAATGTTGTGTAAAAGTAAAGCTGAATTCTCTGACTTTTGACTGACTGTAGCAAAGAAAGACACTGGACGTAGTGTACAACACTGTGAGACAATGTTTATTAAGCACAAATGATAAAAATGAATGAATATGTGGTGCCTTTACTGGAGGTTTGAAAGCTCTCAATGTAGAAAAAATTTCTACAAAAACTGATCCAGACAGAGAAAACGGGTCATTATATACATGAAAACATAATGATATTCTTTCCCAGCATGCATACATTACCCACATTGCTATTGGTTGTTCCCATCAAAAATAAGAGATGTTGTATCCTCAAAGTATTTCCTGACCTAGCAGTTAAAATGGTTGCTGTCTGTTTTTATGTAATATGGCTTACTTTACAGTGATCTTTCACACAAAAAGACACACACAATACCATAGGTAAATGACCCGGAACAGTAGGTTACTAAAGAGCATTGAACTTAGCCACTTTCATGACCAATGTTTAATAGTTAAAACTACATATGCTTAGGAGTACAAAAATTTTGAAAAATTTATATTAGTTAGAGTTAAGTAAAGAGGGCATAGAAAACACCTAGTATGCTTACATGCAGCAACCACAGTTAAAGTTTTAAAAACTACATAACAATTTTTGTTTTCTTGTAGATAGAGTTTTTCAAATTATACTTAGCAAGTTGAAATGGCAGAAAGTAACTGTGGTAGTTTGATGTAGATTTTGTTTATGAGCAAACTTTCATATATAGTAAATTAACTAATTTGTTTAAGTGACACCTTAAGAAAAAGAATATTAGTAAGTTATAGCACTCTAATATAGAACAATATAAATTTAAATTAAAGTTTTATGATATTTCATTTATGTATTTTTACAGCTCTGTCATTAATAATTTCATACTTATTGCATTAGCTTACAGATCGAATGTTGAGCGTTTTAGAGCCAGTGTGTTTGGCAGAGCAAGAATTTTGTGTTCAATTTTTTGGTCTGGCCAGTGACATTCACCCATCATCCACCTGTAATAGTCATGTAAGGTTTTTGACGTTAATATTTCTAAAAATTTGTGGGAATTTATTGTTATTGTATCATGTCAAACAAATTGGGCACTCTTCTTGAATGGTAACTTTGATTTGAGAAATCTTGTATTCTAAGTATCCTGTATAGTATTAAGTATCTGAAACCAAAGTTGTACCTGTAAATGATATTGCCATCCAGAATTTTATGTATATAAACAGGGCACATGCGTAGTATATATTTTTGAAAATTATAAGTGAGAAGTCTTTATCACAGTTTTAATTTTCTTCACAGCTTAGAATTATAGGAAATACTCAAAATTAGACATCTAAATATGACTGATTGTTACATAATAACTTTACCTTGTAACATTTAGCTAATTAAAAGTTAAATTATCATAAGTATTTTATGGTCCAATACCGTTCTTTGTTGTTTTGCTAAATTTGTTGCTTTGTGATTCAAAAGTTCTGGCTGAACACTGCAAAAGAATTTGTGGTGCTAAGAAGCCATTGTTTTGCATTACACACACACACACACACGTATATATATACACAGTGTGGTCACAAGTAAATAGACACCACCTTTTCAGAAAAAATGGAATTTTTTAGTCATATTCACATGAATTGATATATTTATAATTTAATCAATATCTAGTAGATCTTCCTTTTGTCTTGCGGAGTTCGTTGATCCTTTGGGGCATCGTGAGAATCATCTCGTCAGTTTTAGATTGTGGGATTTTTGCCCACTCATGCTTCAAATCTTGGAGTAGATCGCTCTTCGAAGTTGGTTTTTTCTTGACTTGCCGATCGAGTATGGCCCAGAGGTTTTTGAAGGGGTTCATGTCAGGAGATTGGCTCTTCCAGGGCAACTTCTGGATACCATTTTCTTCCTGCCACTATTGGGTGTTTCTAGCAATGTGACACGGTGCTCCATCTTCCTGGAACAACGTTGGGTTCTTGTCCACGAAACCCGAGGAATAAAGTGACAAGAGTCCTTCCTCCAATATTTCGACGTATTTCGCAAAATTTATGTTGCCAACGCACTCCACTAACTTGATCTCCCACCAACCCAAACAGCTCCCCAAACCATCACGCTGAAACCACCATGCTTCACAGTTGGCTGCAATCTGTTGAGCCAAAACTCTTGGTGAGGCATTCTCCAGACCCATATCCTTCCACTATCCAAAAATTGAGCGAACCTTGATTCGTCTGAGACAATACAGTCTTCCAAAAGTCCAGAGGTTTAGTCATCATATCACTT